TAACACTGCGTAAACCAGTTCAAACCTGGGTTGACCACAATTTCCGACTCAAGTTTACTTCGATATCAGTTTAGCTGGCCCAGCAGTAATGAAGGGCGATACAGTTAACCTCACGCGGAAGCCTATTACAAAATTTATTTATTTTAGGCGTTCCAGGTAGATTTGGATACAGGTTAGCCATTTGACCTCATAGGGTAGATTTGAACTTGATAGTTACCAGTGAGTAGTGTTGTGAGATAACTACTATTGATTTTGCACTGATGACATGGTTACTTATAAGCAGCTGAAATAAATTGTTTCTCAATCGATCTATAGTTGTGTGGTTTACTGCCATATGTACGATCAGTTCTGACGAGATCCAACACCAGTTCAATTCACGGATGCCAAAGTAATGTAATAAATCTAGTATCAATTCTCAGTGAAAACGGTTGATAGACAGGGTTAGTGACAAATGAAGAGACTGAAACAGTTGCGCAGTGCTTCCCAGTTTCCCGTATCCTTTGAAATATGCTTGATAAATCTTTTTCAACGGAGTTTCTTATTTTACAGGGATATTTGTGACAAAACACCTCACTTATCTAACTGTCAGTAGAATACAACGTAAACGTCAGATAGAAATTGTGTTTGGACAATGATCTTGATAGGCATGGAAATCCTCAATCGCTTGCAAGAGTTTAAAAAGAAAACAACTAGCGGCCCACACATGTTGAATGCAGCAGTTCTTTTCATTAAATTGTATGATATGGGATCAGCACATAAGGCCCGCATACGGCTACTGTGACAAGATGAGGGTTTTTGTACAGGTAGTACCTAAAAGACTAAGGAATGGGGGTGAGGAAAAAAATCTAACACTACTACTTTTCTGAGCCTGGACCCAGCAGTACATCATAACTCCCCCGCTTTCTCCCATTTCGATCGCTACCAGGATCTGTTGTTTCGGTTAAACCAGAATAGCAAGAGCTCAGTTGCTCACGTGCAGTTCTTTCGTGATATTTTCTGGTCCAGACAATCAATATGATGTGCTATCAAAAGTGAACGTGATTATGGATCATAGAAGCATAGAGACAAAAAAAGATAAAAGAAAAAGTCTTAGACAACGATGACACTCCAACTTGTTTTGTTTGCATTTCAACATGTTTTGTTTACGCAACCTTGTAGACTGTATTTCGTTGAGTTAATGGTTCATCCCGAACTTCCCGTTATCAACCGGTATTTGATTCTCTTTTCTTATCCTAAGACTGCAGATTTCATTAGTTCAGTTATAGTTTGTACAACCTTTAACCGCGCATATTCATGCGCCGGTTTTGGTTGCTATCTTTTGGCTGCCCATTTGAATGAGGAATAGGAGAAGAAAGGAAACTTGACAGTGGAGTCGAAAATGGAGAAGTTCAGTGGTCTAAGGTTGCAAAGAGATTGAGAAGAGGCACGAACGCCACTGGTTGCGACACCCAGCCATATCACTCAGTGTCTCTAACCATCGGTTACGATCATCCTGAGGTCCCCAGCCAGGGAGCCTAACAGGACCTATGTGACCCAGTCTCCTGGTTAGGGTTTTCTTACCCTAGTGCCAGGTCTTAGCTTGACCACACTTGGCATTTTTCCACTCAGTGTCTGCTTCGGCGAACATCGCTCGCATTGGTAACCTATCTGGTGGCATGCGTAACACATGTTCCAACCAACCTAATCTGTGGAGGTCGACCACTTGCTCCAGTGGGCGACCGTATTTACCCAAAACTCTGCGCCTAACCTCAGCATTGTTCATCCGGCTACCGCACCAGATTCGTGCAATGCTGCGTAGACAGCGGTGTTCACACACCGACAGTCTGTCTTTATCCTGTTTTCCTAATGGCCAAGTCTCTGCACCGTATAGTAGGACTGGCCGAACTGTCGCGACATACATTCGACCCTTCACAGACAGCCGGATGTCGCCACAGATGTCTCAAGTTAGCAAATGTCAACCGAGCCTTCTGTATGCGAGCTGACACTTAATCCGTGATGCCTCCACCGGGTGAGATGTAGCTGTCCAAATAACAAAACCTTTCCACTTGCTCTATTACTTCCTCAGTTAGAGTGAGGCTGGGTGCTGGACCAACCCAGTCTTGTAGCAACATTTTACACTTTGAAGGTGCAAACCGAATACCGAATATGGCTACACTAGCATTCAAGTAATCCAGAAAAGTTTGCAACTTACCTGGATCGTCACTTAGTAGAACAATATCGTCTGCGTACTCTAGATCAGACAGTCTGCCACACGAGAGTAAATCAATGTCACTATCCTCGCACGAGGATAGGGCTGCTTCCATAATCAGATCTATAACAAAGTTAAATAGAGATAGAGAAAGAGGGCAACCCTGACGAATACCACTTTCCGTGGTGAACTCGGGTGAAAAAGTGCCGTAAGCCCGGACTCGACTTCGACTATGAGTATAAAGCGATCGTAATATTGAAATTAACTTCTCGGGCACACCTTTCAGAAAAAGGCAGCGCCAAAGTTTAGAGCGGTCGACTGAGTCGAAAGCCGCTTTCAGATCTAGGAAGACAGACATGGTGGGTCTACGAAAAGAATGTCAATGCTCCAGAATTTGGCGGAGAGTGAAGATGTGGTCGATACAACCTCGACTGGGCCTAAAANGGCCTAAAACCAGCCTGGTTCTCACGCGTGCACCGTTCGCGTGCGGCAGACGATCGGCGGAGTACGATGCCAGCGAGAAGTTTAGAGACGACGTTGATTAAACTAATTCCTCTATGTTTTTCACAAGAGGATCTATCACCTTTCTTGTAAATCGGTATGATCACCGACTCGCACCATTCAGCTGGAACTTTTTCCCTTTCCCGTATTGAACCCAGGAGTTTTGTCAACTCCAAGATTAACGCTGAGCCTCCCTCCCTAAACGCTGATGGGAACAGCCCATATGGGCCAGAGGCCTTATGCCTTTTCAGATGGAGGACTAGCATCAACTGGGAGTATTTGTCCAGTCGAGGC